ATTGGACAGGGAATGGTACGAAGTCAACAACAAAGAGACAGCCCAGGGATAGACCAACATCAACAAGGAGAGAATGAGATTTCTGAGAGAGACTCTAACATCAACAAGGAGAGAATGAGATTTCTGAGAGAGACTCTATTTGGTTAGTTTCAGTAAGTCTAGTAAAAATTGTATCCTTGGTGCCAGCAATCATCATTGCCTGTCTAAAAATAAAAATGAAAAAAAAATCAGCCATCAATCTCTTTGTCCAAAACTATATTTAAGTGCCAAGCAATATTCTAGGGATTCAGTATTAAACAATATAAGATCCATGCTCTTATGGAATTTAAATTTAAATTTATGGAGGAAATTTAGTAAACAAGTTACCAACTAAAAATGCAAGATAGTTTCAGATTATTTTAAATGCTAAGAATATAAAACTGGATGATGTGGTAGAATGAAAGCATGCTATGTTGAGAATGGGAGAAAAAATAGGAATTTTAAAGAAATGTGTTTATAGAGTGCATCTATCTTTAAGAAATATAGCTAAGACCATATTCTTGAGAAGAATAACATGTTAAAATGTACCCCTTCTCTCCCTATTCATCAGTTTAGAAAACACCAGCAACTTCAATATATAAACAATACATCAGCATTAGGACGGCTTAATATTAAAAATCAGTTTGGGTCTAGAAGTATTTACTTATCTAGCAACTGACTTTATCCACAAAAAAATATGGGACTACATTCCAATAAAATGAGATCTGTAATTTTTTTGGTAGCACATTCCTCATACAGTATTGAAGATTTCTATAATTCACTTAATTTATTACAAGTAATGTTTCTAAGACTAAACTCACAAGAGGCTCTTCTTTGGTTCAAAGGTAGGGAGGAAGCGAGTGTTGTATCTATACCTGTGTGACAGAGGTTTGGGGGTCTTCAAGCAACTTAGTCTGCTCTCAGACTAGAGGTCAATTTTTCTGAAGAAAAAGGATAGTTGCTAGTTCCATAATTCACCAGGGAGAACACTGGCTGGGTACCCAGATTTTCCTGCAGGCTCTCACTAATGTGGTGTATAAAATGGGAATATCAGAAAATTTCAAGATGACATATTGAGCACATGCTGCTTCCTTCCTGTTCTACCCCAAATCTCTAGAAATGACAGAATAAATTATGAAAATTGTAGGGAGCGGCTCTAGAGTTATGCCTTGGATTGACCTGTGGCAGAGCCACAAACAAGTCCCAGCTTAGAGGGCACAGTCCTCTTAGCATAATTAGGCTTGACCTTATGGCCGCCCCCTAGATCCTTCCTGGGTAGCTAATGGGCTGTGGGAGGTGCTGCAAGTGCTGCCAAAACAAGTGAAACTCACAAGAACATTGTAACTGTGGTGACCACTACCTTGTTTACCGCTGGCTATAAAATAAAGGCTCAGCTTACTGGCTGGATCCTTCTCTATGGCCTCATGCAGGCACAGGAGATCCACTGAGCCCCAGCTACATTCTCTTTGTCCTTCCTTCCTTCCGTCCTTCCTTCCTTTCTTCCTTCCCTTTTTCTTTCTCTTTTTCTTCTTCCTTTCTCCTTCCTTTCTTCCTTCCTTCCTTCCTTCCTTCCTTCCTTCCTTCCTTCCTTCCTTCCTTCCTTCCTTCCTTTCCTTCTATATATATATATATATATACCTTCCTCCCTCCCTCGCTCCCTTCCTCATTCTCTTTCTTTCTGTCTGTCTTTCATTCTTTCTTTCTTTCTTTCTTCCTTTCTTTCATTTATATATATATATATATATATATATATATATATATATATATATATAATTGATTTTTTACAGAGAGGAAGGGAGAGGGATAGAGAGCTAGAAACATGATGAGAAACATCGATCAGCTGCCTCCTGCACACCCCTCACTGGGTATGTGCCTGCAACCAAGGTACACACCCCTGGCCGGAATCAAACCTGGGACCCTTGAGTCCGCAGGTCGATGCTCTATCCACTGAGCCAAACCAGTTAGGGCTGTCTGTCTTTTCTTTAATTCTTCACCACCCCTCCTCAGGCTCACCAAACCCTTGGCTGTGCTGACACAGCACAGAAAATAAATTCTCAAGTTAAAAAATAAGAGCAAGTGTCTTCAAAGGACCAATAATGTTTAGGGAGAAAGCTATTCCCATCCATATCAAAGATTATTCCTATAGTGCCGAGGCCGGTTTGGCTCAGTGGATGGAGCGTCGGCCTGCGGACTGAGGGGTCCCGGGTTTGATTCCGGTCGAGGGCATGTGCCTGGGTTGCGGGCGCATCCCCAGTGGGAGATGTGTAGGAGGCAGCTGGTCGATGTTTCTCTCTCATCGATGTTTCTAGCTCTCTATCTCTCTCCCTTCCTCTCTGTAAAAAATCAATAAAATATATTAAAAAAAAAAAAGATTATTCTTATAGTAATAACCATGTTTTGGGGTAGAAATCACTATACTTTGGGGATGATAGAGGAACAGACTGTAATTTTTATTTTGTTCTTTGAATATTATTTCTCTCAATTTGAGTATAGTGATTGAGTATAATATAGTGACTGAGTATAGTGATTGAGTATTCGAGTATAGTAGACACTGGGGGGTTGGTCCATTGGGGGGCTATTAACTGTGGCTCTGGTTTTCATCATTTTGTACTTACTGGAGACAATTTTTTAAAAAATTTCCTTTTGAGGTCAGTTGAGTATGGTTCTACTTTTTTTTTTTTTGCCATATATCCATTGTTCTCTAAATTCAATTCTGGACTCCCTCCAATTAGATAGGATGCTATATCTTCCTCTTAAGAACTGATAAGAAATTTCTTATAATCACCTAGGTCAGAAGACAGACTCCCATATATGTTGGCTTTTTAACCCGCTCTTTTCCTTACTGGGGAAGAATCTCTTTTTCCCTGTTTCTATATAGAGAAAACTCCATTACAGTGACACTCCTAGTTTCTCTATCTCCCCTATCCCAATTTATTCCTCTCCATGAGGGGGAAATATGACTTCTTTGCTCAGTTTATCAAATGGAAGTGAATATCCTTGGTTCTGCCTATCTGTCTGTCTGTCTCATTTGAAAGTCACGTGCTTTTCCCAAGCATGCATTCTCACCTGTTCTTAGCTATGCGGTAGACCTAGAAGAGCTAGATCCTTCCTTAAGGAGGAGACATTGAAAGTTTGGAAGGCTAAATTTCAATTCAAGAGTGTGTGAGCAAGTCCTCTGGCCAGACCTAAACTTTGCCCTGCAAAATCAACCTTTTCAATAAAGCTGTTATTTTTTTGACCTCTGCCTAATTTCAGCATCTCAATGATTCTCCACTCAGCTGGGAAGTCCCCTTAAAACATCTAGATTACCTTCCAAATCCATTTTCAGCTTCTTATCCCAGCTACTTCAAACTAATTCCCACCTGAAAATACACCAGTGGTTAGTTGTTTTTAAATGGCAAACTCATCTATGTAGAAGTGGGGAATAATGACCGGAAGAAAAGAAATAATGGCATTTTCTTAATTCCAAAGCAATCTCCAACTAAATAGAAGTAAAACTGAAGCTGTTGCAAAAGAAATGGAGCAAGAAGTCATTCTACCCAACCGGAAGCACTGTTTGGAGGCAATGAAGTCTACCTTTAAGTACCATATTTAGGGGCAATATCCCCACTCTCTACTCATTCAGTCATTAAGAGTACCAGCTTCCTAATGTTTGCCCTATCTGGACAGTCCATGTTATCTTTTCATTCAACTAATGGTTTAAGTGAAATTAATTGACTAATAGTTTTTACCTAAATAAAAGTATTTATAACTGTAAACATTGGTTGTCTTCCAACATCCACTTTCACCTTCTTCTATACTTATAGGACCCCTATTATTTTTAAAAGCAGTAATATATGTTCTGATTAAAAGATCCAGCCTTATTTACAGAGAGGAGTAGCCAGTGAGGCCTAAGAGTCATTAGTTGGAATGTCTGGGTAAGTTCTTCCAAGAAGGCTTATTCAGGAAGAAGGCCTATTCTTTTTTTTTTTTTTTAAATATATTTTATTGATTTTTTACAGAGAGGAAGGGAGAGAGATAGAGAGTTAGAAACATCAATGAGAGAGAAACATAGATCAGCTGCCTCCTGCACACCCCCTACTGGGGATGTGCCCGCAACCCAGGTACATGCCCTTGACCGGAATCGAACCCGGGACCTTTCAGTCCGCAGGCCGACGCTCTATCCACTGAGCCAAACCGGTTTCGGCAAGAAGGCCTATTCTTTTGTCCTGTCTTTTCTCCTTCTTGTGACTTAGAATATAGATATGATAGTTAACCAAAGCGACCATATGAAGATCTTGAGGATGAAAACCAGGCACTAAAAATAGCAGAGCAAAAAAATGGAAGGTACCTGGATCTCTCATGACCATGTATCTGCCATACCTGCCCTGGAATACCTCCTCTGGGCTTATTTAGATGATAGCAAAAGAAGGCTCTATTTTATTTAGTCCACTATTATGTGGGTTTCCTTTATATGCAGCAGAAACTAGCTTTAACTAATGTGTCATGTGTTAAATGTGCTAGCTTTATATAGTTTTCAATTATTAAAACAATAAACTTATACACTTATTACTTAAATGACATAAAAGTCATCTTGCTTATTACTACTGATATGCATACCATACTCATGAGAAACTGCCTAGTTATCCACAGAACCTGTAAAAATGATTCACCTTTCCTTTTGTTTTGCTCTTCTTATAAAGAGAGAGCCCAAAAGACAGCAAGAGTAGCTGAAAGTAAACTGGGAAAATTTGTGAAGATCTTTTGAGAAAAAAAGACATTTGGAAAATATACCAGTTTAAATAATCAAGATTTACCTATATACCTGTGAAAAATATACTGCAAACAATGGCTTACTGATACTTATTAATTTAATAAGTTCCCCACCCCTACTGTTAATAGGATTTCATAACATGATTACATGAAGTTATAATGGCAAAATAATTTTGCATTTTAACTTTCTCTAGAAGAAAACACATAAAACACCGAACAAAGACACTTACATTTGAAGGTTTGAGTTTGTTAATGATGGTTGTTTTGCCACTATTATCCAGCCCAAGGCACAGAACATGGACCTCCTTCTTCTTCAGGCCCAGCAACCCTGAAAGTCTGTCTAGCAATCCCATAATGCGATTCAGGTATTTACAAACCAGCTGCAAGTCAGGAAAAAAAAATACATTATCCACAGGCACGTTAAGTATGGAAAATATGAGCATGTATATAAATATTTAATAATATAAAGACACAATGATGTGAAAACCATGTCAACGTAGCTTTGCATTTAGTAAACAGAGTATAAGCTGATTACCAGAAAGGAGCCTTAACTGAAATGCAGATCGGCAGCTTATAACCCCTGGCAACATAGACTAATGCCCTACAAACAGCTGTACATTTGTCACTGTAATTTTGTAATATTTAAGAAGTAATCCTAGTTAAACTGAGTATCTGTGGAGTCCACCATTTGTGATACATGAAAATATCTGCAGCCTTTTCTGGAAATTTGGAACAATGTATGGACAATGGGGTTCATGGCAGGGTGGGGAACCTTTCTCTGCCAAGGGCCATTTAGATATTTATAACATCATTCGAGGGCCATACAAAATTATCAACTTAAAAATTAGCCTGCTATATTTGGCTAAACATTTAACTAACTCACCCCAGACCAAATGATTTCGCGGACCTTATACAACCTGCAGGCCGACGTTCCCCACCTCTAATGTGGAGCCTAAGGCTGAAGCTTAGAAGTAGGAGGCAGACAAAAAAAAAAAAAACAGAGAACTCTGGCCAGTGTGGATCAGTTGGTTGGAGTGTCGTACACCGAAAGGTGATGTGTTAAATTCCTGGTCAGGGCACCTACGGGAGGCAACTGACTGATGTTTCTCTCTCACATAGCTGTTTTTTCCTCTCCCTCTCCTTTCTAAAATCAATAGAAAACATACCATCGAGTGAGGATTAAAAAAATTTTTTTTGTCCTAGCCCGTTTGGCTTAAGCAGCGGTTCTCAACCTGTAGGTCGAGAACAATGAAAATACATCCTGCATATCAGATATTTACATTACGATTCATAACAGTAGCAAAATTACAGTTATGAAGTAGCAACGAAAATAATTTTATGGTTGGGGGTCACCACAACATGAGGAACTGTATTAAAGGGTCGTGGTATTAGGAAGGTTGAGAACCACTGGAGAGCATCAGCCGGAGGACTGAAGGGATACGGGTTTGATTCCGGTTACCTTACCTCGGTTGCAGGCTTGATGAGGCAACCAATCGATGTGTCTCTGACATTGATATTTCTCTCTCTCTGTCTCACCCCCTCCCTTCCACTCTGTAAAAATCAATGGAAAAATATCCTGGGGTGAAGATTAACAACAACAACAACAACAACAAAAAGAAAAAGAAAAAAAAGAAAGAAAAATTGAGACTCTGGCTACATCATTTGAATCCACTGGCTAAATCTTTTTCTGAAGCCAGCTCCAACGTTTTATTTTGCAAGAATATGAAGTAATAAATATTAAATTCATGTTTTTGTTTGTTTGCTTGATAATATTCAGTTTAGGTTACATTTCCTATTATTAGAAACAAAGATTTCTGATATACAGGATGTCCTCCCAAAATGTCTACACACACCTTGAATAATTATAAAGGCAGTGCTTATTAAAAATACATTTCATTTTCGCTCAGCTGGTGTGCTCAGTGGTTGAGCATTGACCCATGAACCACTAGGTCACTGATTCGATTCCTGGTCAGGGCACATGCCCAGGTTGTGGGCTTGATCCCCAGTAGGGGGAATGCAGGAGGCAGCCAGTCAATGATGTTTCTCTCTCAATGATGTTTCTATCTCTCTATTCCTGTCCCTTCCTCTCTCTCTAAAAATCAATAAAAGCATATTAAAAATACATTTCATTTTCAAAACTGAGCTATCAGCTGTTTAAGTGTATATACATTTTTTTTGGACATCTTGTATTTACCTTAATTTTTCCATAGTTATGGACGGAAGTTTCAAAATGGAATTCTAATAACGTGTAGGAAAAAAAAGTGCAGTGACCCTTCCAAGCATGGGGCTGATAGAAGAGCCCCAGTTGCCTTCCCCAAGGAATGGGGTTTCTCCTTGTGTTGGAGATTTAAATTTCTTTCAATCTATTCCTTTTTATCTCAGCTTAAGGATAAGCATTTGTAGGATCTACTTTAAGCTAGCCTTTTGATATCATAAAACAATTCACACAATTTTAATTCAAAGTAAATTTGCCATAATTCACTATTTTAATTCAAAGTAAATTTGCCATAATTCACTGACATACATATATAGTTTTCCATACAATTTTGAACCGATTTTAAAAAACATGATGACTTCTCACATGATCCCCCTCTGGGCATCGACTATAAAGCATCAATAGTCAAAAGCCTGATATTGAATATTCATTTTTCATAGAAACTTGGATTGTGATTTTCCATCCGCTTTTCACGGATTATCAAAGGCCCCAATGCTTGTGACATACAATTTAAAAGAGCAGTCAGTTGTTCTAAAAGGTGTAATTGCGTTTATTGAAGTTGCTTTATAAGCACATCATATGCTTCTATTTCTTAGTAATTATGTATTTCTGTAAGGTGACTCTTGTGTGCATGAAAGGAGGGGGAAAAAGACAATTCAAACTACTCGACATTTATTTATCATGCCCTAACTGTACAGTGAGAAATACAATGAAAGTTTTCTGCACACTATTGGATTAGTATTTCTGAAGATGGGATCAGACATCCGCATTTTAAAAAGCCACCCAGTGTTTCTGATGTATAGTCACTACTGAGAACTACTGGCTTTCAGAATAAATTACAAACTAGCACGCACAGCTTTTAAGGTTGTTCGCAATTTGGCTCCAATCTACCTTTCCAGTTTTGTATCTCACTGTTTTCCTCCCGCTGCACACCAGCGAATCAAATTCTTTTGGCTGTTATCCGAGAAACTGCTTTCTAACGGACTACTTGTTGCCAAAGAAGTCCTAAAGAATTAGGATTTTATTCACAGTTAAGAACTTAGAAGATAAGCTGCAGAGACAGTGGTCAGGCAAAGAAAACACTATGAGTTGTACTTTATAACCCTTAAAAAATGTTTCTAGCGTGAATGACAGCACACTCTATCTCAAATAGACGTTTTTACTCGTCTCTCAGTTTTTGGTTATGAAAATTCAGTTATACTTCCCACACACCACATAAAAACACCCAACTGGACAGTACGAAAACAAGCACCGCCACAAAACAACACACAAATGTTGTTGGAATGAGTTTTCTGGGGTCCCCATGTACCCACCGCAGAAGTGCCCTTCTCCCTCCCCGCCTCTCACACGGAAGAATAACCACAGAGTGAAAAACGGGGGGCAGAGCCACCCTGATGCAGCCGGGGGCGGGCGAGGGCAAGGTGATGGGCGCCGCCGGCCACGAGAATCGTCGGCGGGGAAATACCTGCGGGCCCGGGGGCTGGTGAGGGACGGGGAGGGAGACCTCGCTCGTCCCTCCCGGGGACGGGAATCTGCCGCGGGCGACCCTCCGCCTTTCCTCTCTCGGCCTCCACGGAAGGCTCTCCGGTCCCGGGCAAAGCCGCCTCCACAAGTTGGAGAACGAGTAGCCGCCCACTGCGCCCGAGCCTCAGTCAGTGGGCAGAAGCTGGGCGCGTGGCGTTCCCCTGGCAACCGGAGGCTCTTCCGGTCCCGCAGCCACGCTTCCTCCGCGCCACAGCGAGCCTGCGCCGTCCTCCCGCTCGGCGTCTGGAAGAGCTCGCGGAAACGCCGCCCGGAGCGTTAGGAAGGCGGGAGCGCCGTCTCGTGGGGCGTGATGGGAGTTGTAGGCGCGCACAGCCTGTTGGGACGCGTGTGGCGCTTGCGGTAGCTGAGGGCGCTGCTCTCCGTCCTGGTCTTTGCGGGATGTCAGCGCCCGGAGCGGGCTGTGCGGGCGGCGCCCTGAACGCGGAGGAGTGTGCGCCGTTGCCGGGCACGGGCCCGGGGTGGTGGCAACGAGCACTGGACGCACTGTGTCCCTGGGGCCAGGTGTGTGCGGGAGGCGCCCCGCTGCCCTGCGCACCCACCCTCTTCTGGGCTCTGAGAGGCCTGGGACCCTGGATCCTGGCGAAGTAAAGGTGTTAATGTAGGTCGGGAGAGGAGATGAACTCGCAGGTGTTGTTCCGCCAAAGAATGCCTGCATCCTGGCTTCCCAGCTCTGATCTGCACAGTTCCAGGAGGCATCATCTCCTGTGAGAGGATTACAGTCCCCGGAACCAACCCAGCAGGTGGTCAGAAAACATTAATAGTCTCAGTGCTTCAAGTTAGCCACCTTAGCTTGCAACTGGGATTTTATAGTAACAGATGATCCTCCAATTGAAAATATTTTGACATACACGTTTTCCACATTTTACTATCCTTGCCAAAGTGGAGACTACAGATGTTAGGGGCAAAAAGAATATTGGGGGCTAGTTATGATTATGGGAAATATTAATCATGCTCTATTAACCATGCTTGCCTTGTTCTGGTTAAAGAAAGGACATTCTAACTTGGTTGGAAGTTGTATGCCCTGAGGCCTGGGAGTCAACCTTGGAATGCCTTCCATTCTCATTCAAGACCTGCCTATTATCTTGGAAAGATTAACAGCTTTGTTGCCCAAACAATGGAGCCCCACCACAGCATGCATAGCCTACTTCCCCATGTAATCTTTGTCCTACCCTATATCAGCAGCTGGGTTATGCCTTTTATTATATTTGCCTTTTATTATATTTTACTACATGTTTGTAGCCATAAACAATATATAAACGGGATAAACACTCATATATGATTCAACCCTGTCTCTGCTTAGTTGGCTCAAGTAGTGACAGGCAGCACGGACCCATTGATTGTCCTGGTTACACAGATGCAATAGTTTTAAAGGTCTAGGATTTTTTTTTCTGTAAATCTTTTAATCTTCCTATATAGGCATAATCCCCCCCGCCCCATGAATGGTGTTCTTGACTTAAAAGTTCTTCAAAGAGTTTTCATTTCTCATCTACTTTGTTACTGTAAGTATAGGATTTATCCCTCCTCCAACTACCTAGTGCAATTAACTACCAAATTAGTAATTAATTTGGCCTATTAAATGGAGGGTGAAAAAAGAGACTAGAAAGAATTTACAAAAGTAATGATGGGGGAAGGGGAGGGTTATACTGTTGCAGAAGACCAGAGAAAAACCAAGTGATGCTTTAGAGCAGTGGTTCTCAACCTTCCTAATGCCGCGACCCTTTAATACAGTTCTTCATGTTGTGGTGACCCCCAATTTCATTGTTACAAATTGAACATAATTAAAACATAGTGATTAGTCACAAAAACAATATGTAATTATATATGTGTTTTCTGATGGTCTTAGGCGACCCCTGTGAAAGGGTCGTTCGATCCCCCAAAGGGGTCGCAACCCAAAGGTTGAGAACCGCTGCTTTAGAGACAAGGAGTGACACTGTTTATTTTCGCTGGCAAACTCAGGGAATAACTTTCCAAATCTGAGTAAAGTAACATGCAGGCGGCTTCTCTTTTATATCTTTCTGGGGTCTTTATCCCTTGAATATGGATTATGTTTCTGGTCCTTTTTTCAGGGTTTGCAAGAAGGCCCCCAGGTGTTGGTGGTCTCCAGGCCATATCAGATGTTTTGGCCTGGTGTTGGGGGTCTCCAGGCCATATCTGATGCTTTGGCCTGGTGCCAGTGTTACTAACCCTCCCTCCGGGGCAGTGCACTGTTCACAGTTTTATGGCCTCTGTAACAGATTCTGCAAGACCAGCTTCTGGGAAAGAGGTAGTGACTTAATTATAGGTTATCAAGAATGTACACTGGACTTGCTGGCAAAATCCAGATTGCTAGCGCCCCAAATATCAGGGTTACATTGAAATTAGCCCCTTTTAGCCTTCTCATTATGTGTATAATTATGGGATGCTTTTTGTTTTTTTACTTTTCCAACTGTGGCTGTTATTTTTACAATGAAAAAAAAAGAAAAAAAAGAAAGAAAAAGAAACATGGCCAGGGCTGGTGGCTGTAGAAATGCAAAAACTAACAAAAAACAAAACCCTTATATAGTTGCATAGCCAAAAGAACTGACTTACAAATGTCTTTGTAGTAATGGAATATGCAAATATATGTTTTCGTCCTTATTCTGTGACCTTAGGCCAATTAATCCTCCATTATGCTTTAGTAACCTCATCTTCAAAAGGACAATTTGTCTCATCTAGAGGTTTTGAGGAAAAAATAGGTAACAGAAGTATATATGTTTGGCACGTAGTAGGTATTAAATAATTTCCTGTCTTCCCTTTGTACTGAAATTTTTATTATATGGATAGGATTTTTAAGTGTGGTGGTTCTTTAACTTCTTGCTCTGTATGTCCAGGCATTATGACTCACGTTGATAAGGGATGGTAACTAATTTGCTTTTAGCCATAATTTGACTTTTTTTTTCTTTCTCTTAAACATAGGCAGAAATCTTATGTTTTAGAAAACTTTCGTGGACAGACTTAAATTTTCCTGTGTGGAGTTGCTATATTCTGCCCCTAGGTTGAGTTCTATTTTTGGTTAGTGAAAGGGTTAACTGGAGAACACAAGGCTTGAGCCTTACAAAATCTAACAAATGTCAAAGGAAAGCTCATTCTACAAGCGAGCTTGCACAAACATGCTCCCCTTGAGTGATTATTTTATAGAAATGCCTGAAGGCATATTCCTTACAGCCCCCCCCCCCCCCCCCCCCAGGGAAGGCGGGAAGGACAAAGGGGCAAGCCCATAAAACTATGGACCTGATATTTGTGTCAAGCCAAAGCCCCGTCTGTAGCTCTCCCTGAGCGCACAAAAAAGCCTGCTCGCCACCCGCCCCCCCCCCGCCCCCCAATTCATCGCTGGCTCTTTCTTGAGTCAGTCCACCTGCACCCACGTGACATGAATAAATACCATTTAAAAAAATACATTTTATTGATTTTTACAGAGAGGAAGGGAGAGGGATAGAGAGTTGAAACATCGATGAGAGAGAAACATGGTGATCAGCTGTCTCCTGCACATCTCCTACTGGGGATGTGCCTGCAACCAAGGTACATCCCCTTGGCCGGAATCGAACCTGGGACCTTTCAGTCCCTAGTCTGACGCTCTTATCCACTGAGCCAAACTGGTTAGGGCAATAAATACCATTCTGATTACACTGAACCTTGAGTTCATTCTGTGTGACCCCGGCCCAACCTGAACCTTTTAGTTAGTACAAAACATTTGGTGAAAACTAGAAATATAATGGAGAGATTGAATATCTAACTTTGCAGTAAATTTAGGCAGACATATAATTATTTTACCAAAAATTAGCTAAATAAATAGATGAGTATAGTTGATGTGATGGCTTATGATTATTAGAGATGAAATAGCCACAGTTCACTCAATATTCTAGAAAATGCCAGTTTTGAAAATATCAACTTTAAAAAAAGTAAATATTTCATATGTTGAATCTGTTGTTTGGTGCTTTGCCAACTGAAACAGCTTTCAAGAGTACACTCAAAGCTCAGCATAAAAATTGTTCCATCTTGATTTAAGAAGTTAGTTTGGCTCTCTTCATTTTGTTAGGAGATTGAGCAGTTTTAAAAATAGTATGTGATTTTCTGGAAGCTACTTAAGATACCAGTATAAGGGAAGCAAGTTTCAGGTACTTTATTACCAGTTTAAATTTCATACTGGCTTTTGGAACTGTAGTAGAATGATAAAAGACGTAAGAGTGAGAGATAATGAATACAATCCTATTCTGATTAATTCATGATACTTTCTATGTATTTTCTTACCAGAAACTTTAAAAATAATATAGAAAATCCTGATTTGTAATTTAATGAAAGTTTTGGAATGAATGTTGATGGTCTAAAGCTGTTTGAGCAGTTAGACATTATGTGTATATTTTGGTCATTGGCAATTTGTATACAGTAGTGCCTCTGCACTGAACAATTTACCTGAAGGTTACAAAACATTTTGCCCATATAAAATCACTACAAAAATATGTACCAATTATGTATATTGATTTATGTGAATTTGTCTTGACCTTAATGATATTATTTTGAAAAATTACACTTATGATTTTGTATTCAGAATTTCTAATATATCTACAGAGCATCTAAATATAGTAGATATTTAAAACAATAAATATTAAATATGCATCAATAAAATACAAAAAAGTAACAAATTCAACCACCAGAACTGTAACTTTTATTTGCTAATAGATATTGTAATAAACAGGCTTACTCCATCTGTAAGACCCTGATAATGCCTCTTAGGAAATCATAGAAAAATAAAATACAATAATTAGTAATTTGTACTTTGTACAAAAATCTTATTATGTTGCTCAGCAGGTAGTTTTGCTAAACACCATATTCTTTCAGCAAATAGATGACATATGTAATGCAGTACACCACAATCCCTCATTGAGAGCTGAGCATTCTATAACACTATTACCTTGTAAGCATGCCAGCACATGAAAATTTACATGGAACATCATAAAATTACAGATTTTTATAAGATGAAAACAATACCACCTTCAAGTGAGTATGGACTACTTCACTGTTATAGTAAAGTAGGAAATAGGTAGGATTGCAGTTCTATTGTTTATACCCTTTTACTGTATTTATCTCTCTACCATATTGTGATACAACCAGAAAAGGGAACATAGGCTGTGTAAGAGACCTGAGTGGAAGGCAGATATAGAAGCTCTAAATAGTGATGTAATACCAAAGAG